AATATCTGAACATACAAAACATCAAAAGAACAGGGTATCTGCTTGTAAACAAAAACATTTTATTCTAGCTTCATGCATTCTTTTTTTAAACACTTGAATGTGGATAAGTTTCATAAATAAAAAATTAAGAAATAAACAACATGTTGAACAAAAAGCTGAAAAAAGCCTATGAATTGGATTCAGAACGAAAATCAAAACGTAGATAGAGTCGATCAACACCCCAAAGCTTGACAGTCATTATTACCTCTTCATTGGTCGACATTACATCAACGTTACACAGTTTTGATGCTGTTTTATGTCTGATGATGGTGTTAGATTACATGTGGAAGCATCTGTTGTTTCGGTTTCTTCTTCACTTGTGTTTTTTGGAAATTCTGTACAGAAGATGTGTACTAGCGCCCCTGTACAGTATAACAATGAAAACACGGATTCTAAGAGCACAAGTCAAGTATACTTAAATGTCATTTAGTAGACTAAAAGTATACTTTCCTATTTTTTAGTTTAAAAGAAGTATACTAATAGCACACTTGAGTACACTTCTTTTTCGTAAGGGGAGGTAAAAGTGTGACAACGAGCCATGGCCTCCCCTACATAAAATCAAGACAAAGTCTAACAATATTAAAGGTGCATAACCAGCAATAAACAATACCTCATGCACATGTAAATGTGTCGACTAAGAGTAACACGAGAAGGTGGTTGTGATAAACAGTAATCTGATAATGATGCTGCTCGGAAGCTTCCGGCTGAGCTGTCCATGGTGCTGACGCCCGACCCACCGCCAGCAAACCCTTTCACACAAAACACAGCACGACTATCATTTCCACACATTACGACTTCATCGTTTTTTAAAGGCTTCCTTGTGCTTCTGAAGGATTCGACAAACCCAGGTTTCCTCAAACCCGTGCAACGATGTATTTAAGTCACGAGACAACGAAATACGACTGCGCTAGAGAGATATCCACATGATATCGAATACAATGGTCTTTAAAAAACATTAATATGGCTCTAAATGTATCATTGAGATTACTGCCGGTATTTTGGAGCTCATAAAGGCCTACGACCCTTTGACAATGTCGGTGTAGGATACAAAGATCGGAGCTTCTCCGTGAAGAGAGGCGTTTGGCTCGAAGCAGATGGATGAAATTATTCTTATGCAAGATCACTACAATGCATGCAAAAGCAAACCGGAATCAATCAAAACCCGAGCGCAATACGAGCCCTCATAATGTCTGAAGAGGCGTAAGGCAGCACATCATCTGTGATACATCTTCATTCATCTGGAGAGATAGATGTGCCTCGTGGAAGGCCTGTCGACTTTTTATTTCCAGCAGCAATATAAAACGCGCTGTCATATTCTACCAAACGTACAAAACTAAATTTCAACCAGTCAGAACCACAGTCACAACAATTGAACGTATCTGGATTACCTTGCGAGCTGACACCAGCCGATTTTGGACACGGAGAGACTGAGAGAAGATCTCACGAGAGTTTACGCCACAGCACGGGCTTCGATGGGGAGTTCTCGCGATGTTTGTTTTTCGCATCTTGAGACTGCCTCCAGTCAGGTCAGGTAGCACAGTCAATTACAGCACTGCTTCAAACTACAACTTTACTGGAAATTCTTAGCAAATATCTAGCATTGTTGATGTATTGTTGTATTTCTTGAAGCATAACATTTGTAGGCCTGCATTTATTTTTGACCTGTTTAGGGCTATTTGAGGGCTTTGTAAAATGATCAAAACAAAAGGGAAAAGAAAAATACATTTGAAGTCTTGAAATGAAACTGTTGAACTGAGGCTTAATATCTAATAGTTTAGTTACGTACATCATGGCAGTCTACTCAAGGGTTGTTATTATCTTGAAACTAAACATTACAAAATGTCATTACTTAAAATTAAATAAATACTATTAACTGAAATAGTTTTTTAAAATATGAATTTAATAAATATTAAATATAAAGGCAACATTTCTCATTTTCGTTTAGTTTAAGCTGAAGCACTAAAATAACTAAAACTAAATAAACGAAACTAAACTAACTAAAAACTCAAACTTAATATGAACTATATTAGATGTATTTGAATAAAAACTAAAAACTAATTCAGATAACAAAATACACAACAAAATTACTCAAACTAAACCTAAAATTACAATGAACACAGAAAAATACAAATAAAATCTAATTCAAAATGTCCACAAAAACTATAATAGTAGTGAAGCTAAAATAAAGCAAAGATAACTTAAATATATAAAAATAAGATTGTCAACATAATGTGAATTAAAAGAAGCAAATAAATAGGCCGTACTTACAGCAGATGCTACGGCTTACTTTACAGTTTATGGTGATAAAGCATTATAGCCTAAAGATTACAATTTATACCTTTGACATTTGTCTATGTTTTCATTTAAGTTTATTGTAAAGAAAATAATCTTAAAGCTGAAGTGTGTACTTTTCTGATCATGAAATACCGTATTGACCCGAATATAAGACGATGTTTTTTTTCTTGGAAACACATCTGAAAAAACGCGGTCGTCTTATATTCAGGGTCTAGACTTTGACATGTCAATAATACACCCACAACAATAGGTGACGCCTAAAAATACGCATAAAACGAGTGTGCCATGAAATACGTAATGTAATGCCTGTTGTAAAGATCGAGAGAAAAAACAAAAGAGAAAGAAAAGCTTACAGCTGCATGAGTCGTGACTGTCATGTTAGCCCGATGGGACTAAACTCTCTTTGTGATTTTAAACCGTAAGACAGTACCCAGATTTGAAGACTACAGTAAGATTTAACTTCTACTGTTAATAAGATTTTGGTAGGCTACTATTAGAACGGATAGCCTAAATGTCCTAATTCAGATGGGCTACCTGTTTTTTTTATGGTATATCAAAAAGTGTATATTTTTTAAATGTGATTGTTGGTACAGTTTACCAGTTTTTACCATACTTTCAAAACAAAAATTAAAATAGGAAAAATATGCGATATGAAAATAATCGAAGACAAAATGTGTTTACTGAGGAAAAAACAAGATTTGTTTTTTAAAAAGCCTTTTTCCAAAAGGTACATCTTGAAAAAGGGGGGGTCGTCTTATATTCGGGCCAATACGGTACTTCATGCTCATTGCTCATTGTTTCAATGGGGCGGGGGCGGGGCTCTCTGGAAACTTGTCTGGCAACAACTATTATTTTTGCTGTTCCTTCCGTTTGCTCTGCAGCGCTTTCCTCCACCTCAGCACATCATGCGCCATCTAGTGGGGAAATTCTCCAACAGCAGTGGAGAGACTGCTGGGGGGATGCTGGCGGATTATGAGGCGGGGATTCCAGTGACCCAGGTATTGGTCCAGTGTTCGAGGGTCATCTCTTCACTATAATAACACATCAGCTTTAACTGGCATCTCGCCTCAGTGACTTATTGGCTCTCTCAGCGCTGCAGGCTCTCGTGACGGAAGTGAGCCACTTAGACTAGCTTTTATCCTTTCTGTGGCCTTTATTGTTGGTGCTGATTTTTCTCATAACGTGAGATACGATGCGAATTCGGACAGGGATCGCCTTGGTTTTCCTCGCAGCTTTAACATTTGTTGCGGCTGAGGACGGAGATAGCAAAGAAAGCGTGATCGAACAGTTGGTTGTGGAGACACTGGTAAGTTGGGTCAAGTTTTGTTTGAATGAATGACTGGATTGACTATTACTGCTTGTACATTCACGTCTCACCGCAAACATGCATATTCACAATGTTGCATGTTTTAGTACAGTCGATGTTCTGCGCGTTTCATTCCCTTTGCAATACGACGTCCACTCTTTAAGATTTCCTCAATATTATGCTTTTGACCATTTTAGGTGAAGCCGGAGACATGCACGATTACATCAGAGATGGGAGACACGCTTCAAATCCATTACACGGTAATAAGTGCGACGCGCTGCGCCTTTACAGCCTATTATGTTGTAAAACGAGGCACCTCCCAATGAAATCTTTTGGTATTATGACATAAAATACGGCAAAATGGACTCTTGGGGGGTTGTTTGCTCATGAAATCGTTCAGTGATGTGGCAGACTCAAGCTGACATCTGGACTCGCCATATCTGACAGAAAACAGAGTTGTAATGCAGTTGGTGAGAAAGATGAACACATTCCTCTTTAATTCATACAGAATAGAGGTTCATCGTGGAGTCACCATTTGTGGAGTCACCATGTTTCGAAATGTAGTTATCTGTAATAGTTTTAAGCGAAACCGAATGTTGTGGAGGAGGCGGAGCAACACGTCAGCATTTGAGTCAAGGCGCTATAGTATGGGAAGCCAAACAACCCAAAAGTGGGACGAAACAGCGCGGTAGTAAAGTGTTCGCTCCGCGCTGACCTGTCATCGGCGTGGCTCAATGGACCGAGCTGCGCGACCGACTCGACAGCGCAGAGAGGACGTGTTTACTAGCGCCACCGAACTGAACGAGCGGCGCGAACATTACTCTCCACTACATTACAACATTACAACGTTCCCTTTACTAGAGACAACAAAAATCCCACATATATACTAGGCTATTTAATAATAGTTCAAATTTAAAATGGGCAATATTGTGCTGAATGTAGAACTTGACGACAACAACAACAATAACTAAGTACAAAATAAAAAAATTAGAAGCTGGGAGTGCTCCTCAAGACTATGGTATTGTAAATGTATTAAAGTCTTATATATTTTATATTTGCAGCTTTTCAAAATACAACTGTTTACATGTAGTAGAAAGGTAAGCAAAATAAATTTAATAACTTAATACTGATCTTCATTATGTTATGTGCAGGAAAAAGACACGAACTTCTGCGGATAGTAATTTAGTTGTAACTGATCAGCGCCGCGCTGTCAGTTCGGTGGCGCTAGTAAACACGTCCTCTCTGCGCTGTCGAGTCGGTCACGCAGCTCGGTCCATTGAGCCGCGCCGATTACAGGTCAGCGCGACGCGAACACTTTAATACCGCGCTGTTTCGTCCCACTTTTGGGTTGTTTGGCTTCCCATAATATTGGGAAAATATAACTGGAGACCGAGTTTTTTTTTTTGTTTTTTTTTTACACTCCCGTGAATAGTTCTTAGATTAGGTCAATACCTCAAAGTGTTTGCTACAAAAAACAGAAAGAAAAACAGATTTTTAATTTTGTTCAAATTACTAAACAATTAATTTAACACATGATTACATTTTGTGACAATTAGCTCCTCTTGTTGTCACAGTATATGGGGAACTATATTAAATTAAAATATCTATCAATCGATAGATAGATAGACATAGGCTTATTATCATTATTCTCATATTTTAAAACTAAAAACGCTTTGTTATTTAAAACAAATAAACGTTACCTGGAATATAATAAAATATAAAAATCTTAAACTTTTTTCCAGCTAGCTGCCAAGTTCAGTAGTTTAACTTGGAGTACTAAATTAACTAAAACTAAATCAATTAAAATTAATAAATAACAATGAATAAAACTATGTAGACATAAAAAAACAAACAAAAATAAAATCACAAAATCACAACAAAAATTCTAAAACTTTAAAATAACAGAACATTACAGAACAGCTCACTTTAAAACAGAAACTATAAAAAACATTTCATTAAAAATAATAATAAATCTATAATAGTATATTAATTATATTATAATAACACTATATATACACAGGTATAATTTCACAATATATATATATATATATATATATATATATTCTTCAGACAATGTTTAGCTTCAACTGCAGACATATTGTCTCAAATATTTTTTTTTTAATGTTTCAATTAAATATATGCTACCATTCAAAGTTAAATGTCATGCACATATACACAAATATATCAAACTATTGTTTTGGTCAACAGAAATTGTAATTAATGTTTTTAAATTTCAGCATGTAAAACACATGGTGACAACATGCCCCAACCTGATTATTAAAACACACCTTCTTTATATATTTCGTCTTTGTATTACAGCAGTGTTTCCAAACCTTTTACAAGTGAATCCACAATTCCAGCAGCCTGGCAGTGACCTGGTGGCTGTCAACTTTTATTACATTTTATTACTTACATTGTTTTTTTTTATCAAGTCTGGTTCTATATGTTTTACAACAAAAAAATTTGCTGCATCTACATAAAAATGGATGCAACTAACCTGCAACACCATTTTTCCTGTCCTGTGCAGGGTCGATTAATGGACGGGAAGGTGATTGACACCTCTCTGTCTCGTGAGCCTCTGGCCGTAGAGTTGGGCAAGAGGTCTGTCATCACAGGTATGAGGCTCAGCAACTGCAGTTGAATCCCAAATGATGTTATGTTCATAACAACAGAACTTCTTTAGGCTGAATACAGTTTTGTATAGTTTAGGTTGACTGCAATGTCATTTTGAATTTGAGAAGGATGGTTATGATAACTAAGGTCATGTAAATCCAATAAAATATCTTTATAAATATCTTTAAAACATGTTATTTTGCTTGGCAGGTCTAGAGCAAGCCCTGGTCGGATTGTGTGAAGGGTAAGTCACGCCTGTATGGTACTTGAGAATGTACAATTGTGGCAATACTTGTAGGCAGAGACGGTAAAAATTCAGTGATTGAATAATATGTTCAAGACTACTGCAAGAAAAGGTCTGAATCACTCACTTTAAAGTCCTTTTTTTCAGTGTTTTCTATCTATGTTTTTGCACAGACAAAAAATCAAGGCCACGATTCCAGCTCATCTCGCGTATGGAAAGAGAGGATTCCCTCCAACCATTCCAGGTACCATGATCACACATTAAAAGTTATTGGCTTTAAAGCTATAAAGTTGGTAATAATTATACTTTTTTTTTGGATGATTAGAAGGATAGTTTACCCAAAAATGAAAATTCTGTCATCATTTACTCACCCTCATGTCATTCAGAACCGTTAAGACTTTCTATCTTCTGTAGAACATGAAAAAAGATATTATAAAGAATGTTGGTAACCAAAGTTTCAGTTCCCATTGACTTCCATTGTAAGGACAAAAGATAAAATAGAGGTCAATGGGAACCAAAATTGTTTGGTTTTTAGTATTCTTCAAAATATCTTCTTTCATGTTCCATAGAAGATAGAAAGTCATACAGGTTCTGGGTGAGTAAACAATGACAGAATTTTCGTTTTTGGGTGGACTGTCCCTTTAAATCATGTCCCATGTGATTATTAATCTATTCTTCATCTCTCCATCTCTCTTTCCTCACAGGGGACAGCACACTTGAGTTTGAGGTGGAGGTGATCTCTCTGTCCCAGCAAACGCAGTGGCAGAAACTAGTTAATGACATCTTGCCTCTTTTGTGCTTGGCACTGGTTCCCACTTTACTGGGTTTAGTGGGTCTCTACCTCTACAACAAAGCACAGGCACAACCTCACAGCAAGAAGAAGAGCAAAGACAAGAAGAGCAAGAAGAAATAAGATCAAAGCCAAAAAGAATAAACTATTTAAATAAAAAAATGCTTTTTTTGGTGCTTTCTATTTTTTTTCTTTTGACTTGTTTGAGGACATTGAGTCATTAAAACTTTCAATTAGAACTGTCCTATGTTAACATTTAAGTCATTGAACAACAGATGCTTTTATCTAGAGCCACTTACAAAACTGCTTTAGTATGTACAGTGGCCCCAAAAAGTGTTTCTTCTCAGGAGTATTTAGAAGTATTTGAAAGCATACCAGAAATAGTGAGAATTGTCTTTTTTCGTTTATTTTTTCTTTGTAATTTACTCACACAATGTTTAGCCTAAAAATTCTGCCTCAAACATCTTTGATATATTATCCATTACCCATTTCAATGAAATATACTCTACCATTCAAAATTAGTGGTCGGTAAGATTTTTTAAATGTTTTTGAGTTCTCTTATATTCCACAAGGCTGCATTTATTTGAGGGAGAATACTGTAAAATTTTGAAATATTAATATTTAAAACAACAGATTTCAAATTTTTTATTATTCAGAGTTAAAAGATTTTTAAGGGTAGTTTAAGTATAAATTTGGTTTATGCAACCAACTGTTGGCGCAAGCTACATTAAAGTGATTATTACGTTTTAAATATGGATATTTTTCCTACAAAAATGCATCGATTCGCTACAGGAGGCCTTTGTTCACCCCCCGGAGCCGTGTGAGACATTGTTTTTTATGGATGGGCGCTTTTTATTTAACTTATTTTGGACCGAAGCATGTAACACCCGCTGAGTGGCATTAAACAGCTTGAAAGATCAAAGACAAGTTTTAATATAACTCCGTCTGGATTCGTCTGAAAGAAGAAAGTCAAGAATAATGACTGAAAGAACCTCACCTTACATTCTAAGATGCATGGACTTGTCTTTGTGATGTATTGAGAGGACGTTTGTTGAGAGAATGAAATAAACCTGTTTGGTTAATCTACAGTATACTACCGCAACCAATTTAGATGTTTAAAGTCCCTCATGCAAATTTGTGATTAGCATCTTTGTCCAACATACATGTCAATGGGAGTAAAGGTAGAAAGATAATAACATTCGCTCCAGGTCAGTATTTGATAAGGAGTTTGAAAAATGCAGACAAACCTTCAGTAGTCAATTGTGTTGCAGCAAATCCACAGAATCAATATCAGAATTTCAGGGCACAGAATTACTGCTTTTTTTCTCTAGAACTGTCACAACTTAGTTGATATACAGATGTAAGAAAAAGCTGTATCTGGTGAAATCATAAATTAAATAAAAAATGTACTGAGATCATTGCATTAAACAGACTGACTGACTGAATGCAAGGCAGAAAAACATTTAAATTGCTGCAAGAAACACTTTTGCATTACACATTTCAGTTTTATTCCCTAAAACTGTTTCTGCACAACTCCTGTAGAGCAGGAGACAACACCACCAGAAGTTTCTGTTGCCGAAAACTCTCATCAGAAACCGAAACTTCATCCAGGTACTGCTTCAGATAGAGCCTCAGTCGTTCATTCTCCTGTAACAGCAGCGTTTTCTCTCACTTCAGACACAAATGTTCAAGCTGAACCTTGTTGTAACGTTGCCAGAACTTCCCAAGAGGCAAATAATCATGCATTAGCTGGGGACAGAGGAAGACAAAAATCAATAAATGCTATAAATTAAAGCAATTAATCAGCATGAAAGAGTCCACAATGTGATATATTTCTGAGTGAAACTGGATATTCATTGAGAAAATAATGTTTTTTTTCTTCCATTTGAGATTCATTGGATTGTGAAAAGCCACTGTATGCCAGAATCTGAATGCAAGTTCACCATGGACTCTGAAGGACTACTGAGTGTGTTTTGAATAAGCTTGAGCTCTGTGCTCCTGACCTGAGCGAGTTTCTCAGTTGGCGGCTCCATAGCATTGGGCTCTCTCCTGATTCAGCTCTTCTTCACTCAGTGATGTTGAGTAGAAGGGCAGAACCTTCTCGTACTCCGTCTCCAGCTTACAACACATCTCAAATAGACAAATCAACCTTTCCCCCTATGGAAGAGAGAAGTATGATCTCTACTCCCAATAAATATTCCAATACCTGTTCAAAGAACAAAGATATTTCTCTTGTAAGTCTTCTTATGGTACAAGAAGCAGTTTCTCCCTATTTTAAGAACTTGAAGGATTTGCCTCGATGACAAGTCTTATTTCAGGCTTCATTGCACAACGAACCTTTATTGACCAAAATCAGTTATTATATGACCCGGCATGACCAATTTGCTATAAGCATAACACTGTTGCACATGGAACTTTATCATTACATTTTTTATTATGACTACAGTCTCTTTCATTGCATGTTTGACTGATCTGAAGGCGATTTTTGATATTGATATACATTTTTGCTTGAGAATATTGGAAAAATAAAATGTTGGAAATCCACCATAATTCAGGAAGCAAAAAAATGTTTTACCTTGGCATATTTTAGTGGAGAATGGATGAATATTAAATTATATTATGATCAATCTAATATACTATTAATAGTTTTATCATTTTATTATTATTATTATTTTGTCATTTTACGTTTATTTAAAATTTAAATGTGAAATTAAAATTATTTCATCGTAAACATCTTAATTTGTGTTACGAAGATGAACGAAGGTCTTACGGGTTTGGAACGACATGAGGGTGAGTAAGTAATGACAGAATTTTCATTTTTGAGTGAACTATCCCTTTAAATGTGGGTGTAATAAACATACCATGGATGCAATCTCCTGCAGTTTTTTAGTAGCATCGCTGCTTTGAATGGTAGGTTTATGTAGCATAGAACAAACCATTTATTTGCTTGTTTCTGAATACAATTAATCGGAGATCACTAGAATTGAGTACCTTTGATAACATTCATGGAACATATAGAATACAACGTTTCTTTTGGCATCAAATATCAAAGATAAACTAAATAAGAAAGTTTGTCAAGATACTAGTTGTGTACCAAATAGCCTATAAAATAATAATAATTTTATAATTTTGTCATCTATTATCAGAGCCCGATAGCTCCTCCCCTTCCGCTACGTGTCTGTCATGATAGATACATTTTCAATTCAGTCTAAAAATTCGAGATTATTTTGGAAGGATTTGGAATTCTATATTGACAGAAAAATAGAGTGTATGATAGAAATTTGTTGATATACTTTTTTATACAGAAAACGTGTCACGAATTCGATCCACGAATTTCCATCCACTTGCCACCAGAGGTCGCCCTTCCATGACTGTTACACATCACCCTGGACTACATTTCCCATGTTCCATTGCACTGATTACACTCACACCTGAAACCAATTACACGCTCACCTGAATGCTATTACACACACTATATAACCCCTCCCCTGATCCTGTTCAAGTCGCCGAGTATTGTTCTGCATTTTTCCCCCCCCAAGTGTTAGCTGCCTTACCGAGCCAGTCTGTGTTTTCTGTTTTAGTCTCGTGTATTGTTTTGTGTTTATCCCTGTTTAGCGGATAGCTACCTTACTGAGCCTGTTTAAGTTTTCATCGTTTTCTTAGTCTGGTCTTAGTCTTGCCCTGTCTGTTTTCCTGGTCTCTGATTCACGCCACGTATCTTGGATTAACCCTTTGCTTGCTGTTTCTGCCCCTGCCTGGACCTTTGCCTTCTACCTGGATTTATCTCTTGCCTTGCTTTCGATATACCTGTTTGCCATTGTTTGACCCATGCCTGTTAAAACCATGTCTCTTAATAAAAGCTTGCATATGGATCTGCATGTCTCTCATCTCATAACAGAACGAACATTTGAATTGTAAAGAACAACATATTATACATTTGTTTATTTTGTTTGGAAAATTCCATATACATAAGAAGAAGTGGGCTCAATGTAAACCAAATTTTGCACATTTTATAAATGACTTTAAATTATATGTAAATCTTTTAGAACAAACAAAAAACAAAAAAGCACTGGAAACATGTAATGCTCTGAAAGCATTGAACTATGTAATTTTCTTCCCTTTTTTTTCTCTGGCAGCTAATAATGTTAATTTGATAATGTGAATATATAATACCTCATGTTCTTGTGGCATTGAATTAATAAAGCATTAAAAAAAATTCAGTCTAAAAACCCAAGATGTTGAAACCAAATTAAACACGCTGTTTTTCCATGCAGACCTTCGCTGAAAACATTCGCAGTGAGCGATAGAAATAGAAAAACATACACGTTTACATTGCTGGTTGGTAAAAATAAAACTGAGCAGCTGCAAGCGTTATTTCACATCGTCTTACCCTCTCACATCCCGCACTGGCTGACTCACTTCTGTTGACCGTTTCCTAGCAACCACAAGCTGGCCACAAGGTGACTGCAATAAAGACTTTTGGCCCCATCCGCCTTCCATACTGCACTGCCATATGGATCCAGTAGGACGCGTGCATGTTTCACGTCACAGAAATTACTATGTAGTTGTGACATAATAAAAGCATGCATGGTAATGAACCTTTCATGAAGTCTTTTTGCTCAAATGTGATGGACAAAAAATGCAAAATATTTATGTTTACTTTGCATTTCTTTTGTAATGACGTAAAGGTTTTTGCGTGTTCATTTTTTTATTAAACACAGCAGATGACAGATTTAAAAAAAAGATGACTATCTAAAAAAAATGCATGAAATGTTAAACAAAATAAAAACACGAATCAAAGGTAACACTAATTGTTAGCAGCAGAGGGAGCTATGCCTTTAAATGTGAGCATGTTCTTAGCCTAGAAAAAAATTACATTATGAGGTGCAGCACAAATGCAAATTATTTGTACATATTTACACATATAGCGGTGAAATGGTCAAATAGATTTTTTTTTACTTATAAAAATGTTTAAAAGAAGCAGCAGAATAGTTTTTAAGATATCTTTAAGATTGTTATGTTTAATCGATGCAACATAATGACTTAGTATTTTTTTGTTCCCAGGATGGCCTACTATTTTGTTTAAAATAAGTTTGTCTTGTTTGACTTCAACCATATTTTAAAGCTACCCTGAAAAAACATTAAAAACAGTTGCATCCCTGGAGCTTAATCTTCCTGCTATTAATGAGGTGTTATCTTTATACTCATAAAAACACAAGCTGCAGATGATCTTTGTAACCTGTTGTCACTGCTGATAATAGAAGGAAAATACCACTGGTTTTAGTCAGATGGCTTACATGCAAAATATGTTATAACAATAATTTGTATTGCTTGACTTAAATATGTCAGTAATATCAGGTTGTACACGCTAAAGGTATTTATTAACTTTATTATTTATTAAATTAATTAATTTATTAATTGATGAACTTAGACTGATGGTATTTTGTGCTTATGTTATTTAATGTGTCTAAGAGAACACAGGAGACAGAATGTAAATCTAAGTTTAAAAATATGATTGATCTTATTTATTATGTGCCATTAATACTGTATGTGCAATATGCAATTTAATTGATTATTATTTTAAATATTGTTTTGGGAATCATTTATTCCTTTATTCTTTGTGTCTTGAGTTTAGCCAACAAAAGATCACATGAACTGGTGAAAAGAAACTTCCCATCAGAAGCTATTGTGTCTGAGTCGCCTTTGTTGTGTATTTTTCTGGCCTTTTCCTTCACTTCCCTCTTGAGAGCTTCATGAAGACTGTCTTGTTCTCTCTAATCATCACTGCTCAGAGTCTGTACTGGTTAATGATCTGTTTAAGCTTTTCAACCAGCTGATGTTATAAAGCTGCTACTGTCTCTGGATTTGATGGCTGTCCTCTCAACAGACTGTTTGCCAGTCTGTCACTTGTCGTCTGTTTTTCTGTATCCTTTTGCAGATTTATCAGGTCTATATGCTTCAAACAGCTTTTTTTTTAGAAAAACATTATTTTGACAACCAGAAACGGATATTAGAAGGTGACTGGATGATGATTCCTTCTGGATTTGTTTGCACGTTGGGTTATCCTTAGTTAAATCTACAAACAACATACTCTGAACATGTGACAACAAAAACTTAAAGTAGTTAAAAAATTGTGCATGTCAGAATATCAGCTCATATGTGTTCATACCTGCTATTTCTCATTGTAAAGAAAATGTAATTTCAACAGGAAAATAATGTAAAATTCTACAGTAAAAACCTGTTAAGTGGTCAGCTGAGTTACCTACATGGTAATATATATATATATATATATATAATTTTAAAAATGATATGTAGTTTTATTGTAAAATTGCAAAAGTATAATTTATAATATATGAAGAAAACAACAGGCAATTGTGTCTATGAGCACGAAAGTAAGTATGACTTAATGTATGAATGATCCCATAATTTATTCCATCTGTGAACCATAACATTTTTATAAGTTTGAAACATTTCTTGTAATTACTCTTATCAGTTATATACATTTGTGTGTGTTATGTTGTTTAGTTAATGTGTATAGCATTATTTAAGCATGTTGTGTTTGTGTGTAAGTTAACACTGTGCTCTGTCTTTGTTATTATTGGTCGCACCATGTGACATTGCGTTGTACCACCTGTGTGTTATTATCAGCACATTTTACAGTGACAGATTTTAATAGCTACTAACCACTAACCACCAATATCCCCGTAATGCTTGTAACATCATCATTGTTTTTACAGCAAACTTCTGGTACTGCAATTTTTTTTTTAATGGAAATGTAATAATCAAAAGAAGATTCAAGAATCAACTCCTTGCACAAATAATATTTTAAACATTTAATTCTTTTTTTTTTTACAAAATGCAAAGCTTTAAACAAGTGCACGTGACCTCATACCACATGAACATTGTGGTCCTTTCATTTCCATTCATATCGTCGCAGCGTACGTCAGGTAAGGTTCATGTTGAGCTTTGGTCATTCCTGGTAAAAGCATGTAAGATGAAGGAACAGCAGGTCCAGAACCCGGCCAGCCCAGGCAGTTATAGGGCACCATGTGGCCCGGGTTACCCGGAGACGGGTGAGCGTGTGGCGCACCGGCCAGAAACCCCATTCCGGGAAACGCGGACACTCCACCGGGATACCCGAGCATTGAGTAATGTGGGAAAGGTGCAGGGGGTAATTCCGACATTTTGGAGGCCAGGTCGAGAAACGGATATGGGCTGGCGGACAGGTGGTGACTGAAAAACACCCGAGTAGCAGCGGCGGCGGACGTTTTCTCCGCGCTCAGCGAGTCCGTCAGCGCGTCGCTCTTCAACGGGTCACTCTCACCCAGATTGTACGTCACATTAAAATGATACCGGTCTTTTTTGATCATGTTTTTGGGCTTTCGCCGCGGTCTGTATTTGTAATCCGGGTGTTCTTTCATGTGAACGGCTCTAAGGCGCTTGGCCTCGTCAATAAAAGGTCTTTTTTCAGACTCTGACAGGAGTTTCCATTCGCCTCCGAGGCGTTTGCTGATCTCAGAGTTGTGCATCTTCGGGTTGTCCAGTGCCATCTTCCGTCTCTGGGCTCTCGACCACACCATAAAAGCGTTCATGGGGCGTTTAACATGCTCCATAGGCTTTGCCATTTCTGAAACAGTTTCCTCTGCTGCTCCTTTTTCAGTTCAGTCCAAAGGAAAGCAGCCCAGAGTTTCTTTGATGCACAGTTCAGTCAGTCCTGGCCGTGTTGCCTCTGTAACATGGCACCAAAGAGTCTGCGCCTAGAAATAGTATAGCCTAAGTTTTCGACTGCTTGACTATTTGTCAAATATAAGTGACTTACAAAAATCTGATATTTATCTCTTCAAACAAGTCCCAATAGTTTGAGTTGTTATCCATGGACGCACGGTGTGTATGGGAGTCTCTGAAGCAATCTGGCTTTAAATGCTCATCACTGCTTAGGTTTGTAGGTTTGTAGGTTAGTTTTGAATGAAGTGGGCGTGTCCATTCGTTCTGAGATGAATGACGTAAGTGTGGGTGTGTCCTGTGAAATCTACAAACACTATGAGCAGCAGCACTGTGGGACAGGTTTGCATTTCTTTCAATGGTATAGCATTTCAATGACAATATAACTTTTTTTTTAAATTATCTTTAACAGATAATTAATGACATGTAAATGACAAAAAGCATTCAACTTTAAATCATTGAAAAGTTGGAGACGCCTACTCATTGTTAATTATTAATAAATAACTCATTGTTAATTATGCAATAAATAAATACTCAGCAGAAAAGAAGTTGTCGCTTTTGTTTTGGTAACTCAGTGTTTAACCAATAGGCTGCTACCATTACATTTCCCACAGTTACTGTGTCATTACACCCGACAAGTTCAGTTAACCTTGTGTCCATAACTGCGGTCATATGTGTTTCTCTGTTACTATGTGATTATAATGCAGTCTTTTGAATGGATTTCAATATTAGAGGGTTGCTGGAGAAAGGAAGTGCTTATTATTAAGACAAGAAAATGGAAATTCAACACTCTTTTGTTTCTTTTAACGGTGTCTCTTTGTATAAACTTAAATCTCTATAATCTTCTTGTAACCATGGATGTACTATTTATAGACAATTTATCTGCTTTAGTCAAACAGGCTCACATCCTTGTAATATAAACTATACCCAAGCCCAAATTACGATTGTGCTGTAAGAACAATATTCTGTATTGGGTTTTTTTTCCCCACTGGTATTTTTACCTGTATTTTGAATGCAATGCGCTGTGTTGCGTTTCAGTTTTTTTCTTACAGTGCAGAAACATTTTTCACTCAGAAATTGCTCATAATAATTAAATACAAAGAAACAGCAAGAAGCATGTTGAATTAAACAGGAAAATCTGAAGTAGAAAAACGGAATTATTTTCACGTGAAACATATTCCAATTATCTTGATTTAGAACTTACAATGTATAAGACTTTACATTTTCTATAATGAACAGTATACAACAGTCCACATTGCATTCAATCCCACAGTGCAATGCACTTGACTTGATCTTTCGTTTTCAGTGTGGCAAATTAATAAAGTATAGCGTAATATATAATACTAAAAGCATAGTACTATAGTATTATAGCATAATGCATAATACTAAAATAATACATATTTTAGATGTATATGTATAGTATTCCATAAACTATACTGTAAAAAATTATTGTGATTTTAACAGTAAAAGACTGTAAAAATGCTACAGTAAAAACCTATTAACTAGTTAACAGTAAGTTTCCATACTATATTCGGTGAATAAATGTAATTACATTTAATGTAATTTTACAGTAAAATACTGTTAAAATACGGTTTTTGGAAGTGAAAACGAAAAAGTCATTGTATAATTTACAGTGAAAAAACGTAAATTGACACTCCCAGAATTCCCTGCATGACACTTCATTTTTTTGTTGAATTAACATGTTTCTTAGTTTTTGTTATCAGCTGTGTACATTAGGGTTTAATCTTACATCTAATGTTGTTAAATGAATGTTTATTGCATTATTTCAGTATCATGTGTGTCACCATGATGGGGTTTAGTGTTTGTGTGAATGACTATATATAAGAACTACCCTCCTCAGCTCGTAGAAAAGCTGTTTGTGATGAACTTTGGTTCATCATGTGACTTTCTCATCACCCCCCGTTTTTGGTGGTTTTCAGTGCATTACAATGGTTCAAAACAGATATTAACACTTCAATATGTTGGTTTATTAACATTACATCAGTTAATGAAATACGGTATTTTATTGTGAATTTAAGTTAAGTCTGTAAAACCTAAAATGTTGCAACCATATTTTTTACAGTGAAGTTCTGGCAACCACAGCTGCCGGTATTTTACCGTAAATGTCACAGATTTTTTTTACAGTGTAGTATTCATTACAAACATAGCCATGCTATCTATTTTTTTCACTTAAGTGCAATAAACTAGCAAATGTGTTTTGCATACACAAATGAACAACAATTCAAACCATGTTTTCATCCACAGGAAGTGATAAAATCCTTTTGTAATTGTTCATATGAAGCGGTCACACCCTGAGAACGTGGAGGTGTCAGTCATGAGTCTGGACCACACCAGAACAATATTGTCCGGAGTAATTAAAGGAACAAATGACTCTTAAAACCGTCTCTGTGTTTAGCCTCCCTTTATTCTCCTGAAAATATCTTGGAACGCATCTTGGATTTGCATGAGTGCTCTCAGTTATCTCTCAAAGAGAAGCTTATTTAGCAGAAAGCAAAAGAAAGTCCTTTGGAGAGAGCAGAAGAAAAGAACAATGCGTTAAAAGGAAAAATCCTTTAATTTTCAGCTAGAAGAAGGGCCATTGTACGTCCAGCTTTGCCCTGCCTTCAGAACTTTATCTCCACTACACTTTGACAGAACCACCAAAGCTTTTAGTGCTCTTAACATTTGTGTCCTGAAGAGCGTGTGTGTGTAGAAAGAATCAGTTACAGTCCTGCACCAAATCCTGCACATTCTTTGGTTTTCTAGCTTCTTCTGCATATTTGAACACTACAAAAGTGACAATTAAGGACAATTCAACACAACTGAGAACAACTGAGAGACTCATACACAACTATTACAAAAGCTGAAAACAATCACTGATGCTCAAGAAGGCAAAAGGATGCGTTAAGAGTTGGGGGGTGTAAACTTTTGAACAGGATGATGATGTGTACATTTTGCTCATTTTGTTTTAAAGAATGTTTGTTTTTGTTTTCCATTTAGTACTGTGCTTCAGAAGTTACGTAAGAATTTACATGTTTCCCAGAAGACAAAATAAGTACAATTCATATCCCAATTCTCCAATTCAAAATGCTTATAAACTTTAGGGAATATAAACTTTTGAACTGGTTCATGTGTAGATTGTCTTGTGGACTATATGTAAACATCTGTTATGAAACAGACAGTGCTAAATAAAAAAAAATGCAATTTTTACGATCCCCCTTATTTTGTTAAAATTATTAACATCTTGCATATAATGCAAGGAGTATGTAAAGTTATGTGCAGAACTGTAACTGTAACTGGTGTTTTCTGTGTGTTTATTTTCCTTTTGGTGTAACAAATTAATGGATATTGGTCAACGGTTTGACTCTTCATTTAATCTGAAGATAAAGCAGTCTTTTATACTATGGGAATTGGTCTTAACATTTCTGTAAAGTAAATAGCATGTGCTTCAAGTTCATTGGTGACAGAAACCTAAACATAAAATGAAAACATCAAAATAATCAAACATATAAGGAGAATAATGTCATAAATATGAACTAGATAAACAAACTTTGAAGTTGGCTTGAAAAAGCTTTGAATGAAAGTTTGAAGCAGTAGCCTAGTAAAAGCATGAAGTTTGAAAGTATAGACAGATTAAAAAAATGTTTCTAGCTTGTTTAGATAGCATGATTAGCATGTTGTTAGCATTACCAGCATGTTGTTAACATGTTGTTAGCATTATTAGCATGTTGCTACCATTATTAACATGTTGTTCGCATGTTTCTAGCATGATTGGCGTGTTGCTAGCATGTTGCTAACATGTTTCTAGCATGATTAAAGTGTTAACATGTTGCTAGCATGTTTCTAGTGTGTTTCTAGCATGTTTTAGCATGATTAGCATGTTGCTAGCATGTTTTTAACATGATTAGCACGTTTTAACATGTTAGCATGTTTCTAGCATGATAAATGTGTTTGCAAGCACGTTTTTAGCATTATTCGCATGTTGCTAGCATGTTTTTAACATGTTTCTAACATGATTAGCATGTTGGTAGCATGATTAGCATAGACAGATTATAAATATTTCATGATAGATAGAAAAAAGCAAATATGAAATTTGATTAATGGACCTTTTTCAAAAGAAAATCTCCATGATAGTGTTTTCATAACTTTCAAAATAAAGGAAAAAAATAGAGAGAGACTGATAACGGCAGTCAGTAGAGAGAACGATGTCAAATTTACCCTCACTCCCATAGACTCCCAGAGAATTCTTTTGAATTCTTCTTTACATTTAAATTCAAATGTCAGGAATGGAGTTGGAATTCTCAATTCTGAATGACGCACAACCGTCAGGGTTGTACCAGTCATGAAACGTGAAAAAGAGTCACACTGCCTATGAAATAAGTCATCATTCTAATGAATTCCACTTGAAATGTCTAAAAAATACAGTGTCCTTCAAGATGGAGGACATGCAGTATCTACCACAATGCACGGCCACCCAGCGCTTGACGTGCTTTCGGCCCGCCATTACAGGGGTCCCGAGTCTTTTCACCCGCTCCAGCGTCGAGCACTCAGGCCTCCCATGAGGAACCCAGAATCCAGCTGACATCACAAGCTGTTTTGTTGGCTGTCCTTTGAATCCAGTGAATGTGAAAGGAGATAAAAGGACAGCTCCAGTGAGAGTGAAGGATGGTCACACTGTGTGGCTAATGTTCTGAAGGCTTTCACTGCGGAGAATGGGAACAATGGGAGCAAATGGCAGGACAATGACCAGTGTTTTTGTCCACTCAATTTGTCTTGAGGTCCTTCAACCTAATCACATTCACTCAGAGTCATTTGAAGGTTTTGTTGGAAAGAGAAACTGCTGAGAGTTTGGGCCTGTGAACAAAAGGACAGAAAGGGGAAGAATCAACATCTATCACCATGACAGCCAGACTTTAAGACAGGGATTTGGGTCCAAAGAAAACACAGGATGAATGGAGAGGATTGGAGAGAAAAGCCAACGTTTATTCTCTCAAAAAGTCATCAGACATGCTCAACCATCACATGCATGAGAACGGCTTGAATTGTTGATGAAGTTCTTTGTTAACGAGACTATGAAACCTTGAAGAAGTTTTTGGAGGTTAAGTTTTACAATGGATGACAAACTGTTTTATAATTTGCTTTGTAAATACGCTGAATTTTTCTTTCCACTCAGAAATTGCTAGTAAATTCCGTGTTTA